CAGGGAGGTGAGCATGACTAGATAGCTGCAGTTATAGATAAGGCTTGTTTGACCGTGGCTTGACCGGTCCTTGAGGCGAGGGAAATAAACAAGGTAATAAAGCACAACTCTCACACTGACCATGCCCCATCTGGTCCTGTCCATGAGGGGATCACATAAGCATTACGAAAACTCCATTAGGGCAGTATTGTCATACTACCTCATTACTAGCCTATCAAACCCTGCCAAATGCAGACCCTAGTATGGCATTAGACATCGAATTTTTGTATAAAAGACCCTCAACCCCTTTGTTCGATGGAGGTTCCGAGTGTTGAGGGCACGTGTCTTTTTTGCCCAGCTGAAGGATTGATCACCCTGAGGCTGCCTCGCCACCCCTCGAGTCAAAGATAGGGGTGCGCGAGTTCTGAGCATGCTCCGAGTTCTAGTGTGTCTTTACGCTCTTATCGTTGCTGGATTTGTAAGTATTGCTTAAATATATTAGTTATTGGTTTAGTTAATATCTGAATCGTGTTAATTTCACTGTGTAATTCTGTAGAGTGTAACAGTTCTATTAACCTCACTGTGTAAATTGTATAATCTTGTGTTGTGTAGTGGTGTTGTATTTAGGCCAAGTATAAGTGTTAGAAATAGTTATTAAGTTGTAGAGGTAGATTTATGACTAACTCCACCAGCTGCCTAAAATAACAATAGAGGAGCTGGCTGTGGATGGAGTTTTTATTATCATTATATTGGCTTTGTTTTTGTAATTTTTGCTTGCATGCTGCGCTGCCTTAAATCATTATCCCTAATTCACTTAATATAAGTGAATTGTAATCATCAAGGAATTGTAATCAATTAGGTATAGTTGTGCTCAAGTTTTCTACCCTGTAAAAGCACTGGGCAATTGCTAGTTTAAAAAAGCCATTTGCTAATTGTTGGTTTTGATAAAAGAATCATTCCACTTAATAAAGATCATTTGTTTAACACCATCATCCAGTAGTTTTCACTGGATAATCGGCTTTAACCTTCGAGGCTCCCACCACATCACCGAACCAAGGTGTAACGTGGCGTCACGAACAGGATGTGGTGAATGCCTCTGGGCAGGCAGGCCCCCGAGTGAAAAATCAGGAGGATGTATTTATTCATTTAACGTATCATAAATTGGAAGATAAAGAGGGTAATAACCCCCCAATGATCTTTAATATTAAAGTAAGGAACGGGGCAAGCCTCAAAAACATGGGCAGCCCCCCTAACAATGTCTTGTCTGGGGTGTTTGTTAAGGACACACCACTCTATCACATTTTATCCGGAAGAGGAGACAAAAGGCCCCACCTGTGTAACAGGGTCAAAAGGGGATGAATCAGACCTGGTGAAACTTTTGACTGCGGCAGAAAAAGTTTTAAAGAAATCTGATATCCACATGTCAGCCACCCTCTGCTACCCCTGTTACCCCCGGTAGTCCAGGACACACCCTCTTAATAGAATTAGTCCAAAAGTTAGAAGAATCCCGAGAGCAAAAAAGATTAAAGCCTGATAAATTCTGAGCCCGAAAAAGTAGCAGAAATTTTGTGGGTCAAATTTAAAAAGACCCTCTGAAAATTGGACTCAAGCTACGCAGCACTAAGTTTTGCTGCATGTGGTGCTCAGCAAAAAACCGAGGCTAGTAATCCCAACCGAGATATAGATGTGCCTCCAGAGAAAAGAGCTGGGCCAGCTAAGCCCCTCCTCTTATCCTTGAGAAGCTCTTGAAAGTTTAAAAAACACCAAGTACCCCACCTTCAGCAAAAGAACCCGAGGTGGAGGTGCTCCCAGTAGCCGTTACAAAAAACAACTTATGATGCAGCAACCGTACTTACTAACCAGGTCACAGTTCTATGCACCCAATCCAGGACCAAATTAAAAGCCCTTTTAGAGGACACACAGCGTAATGCAGGAGAGCTCCCTACAGTATGGTTGGGATGCGTAGCTTTAAATAACGGATCGGAGGTAGTAAATAAAGAAGAAGTAAAACACCGAGTTTCGGAATAGACTTCACAGCTTATGGGAAGTGTTCCTCCAAATTCTGAAGGAAGGAATACCCGCAGACCATCAAGCCATATTGGCTCTAGGCATTTTGGTTGAAAACACACACACAGAGCAACACGCAGAAGCAGGAAAGGGCTGCAAGCAACTTCACAAGATTCTCAAGCCTGTGTTAGCAAATAGATAACTACAGCCTCTCTGGCTGGAATTGCAGGCAACCCAAGGATGTTTCAAAACGCACGAGTGGGGGGCTGTCCAGAAAAAAAAAAAAACAGTCAAAACCTTCCCCCCAGACACCATTATAATTGGCTCGAGGGCGTGAGAGGAGGTAAATTAAAAGCCACCCTAAGTCAACTGGTAGAAATTGAATTTGAAGATGTAATCACTAGAAGCTAAATCTGCCCTAACAAAGAGACACATTCTGCAGCATAGATCTCCTTATAAAGCACGGGGGAGTGATCCACCCCAGAGCCAGCCGCATAAATCAAGCCTGCTACAGTTTAACTGCTATGAAAACCCCTGTATTAAAAGGTTTAGAAATTATAATTAGCTAACTGCAATAATAAATGTGAATTTACCCATGAAAAGGAACCAGAAGCTGTGGGGGCTAATTGAAAAGCCCACCCTTCATACTAAATTAATAATGGACAACACCTGTATCATTGAAAAGGCTATTTAGCAAGTATCAAGACAGACAATAGAAGGAAAAAGCATATGTTAAGGGGGTAATAAGTTTGGAGTCTTATGGGCAGACTAGGGAAATAAGAAATTCTACTGAAACTTAATGGTTAACTGCATAAAAGAATAAATCTATACATTATAAATTTGTAAAAGCTGCACCCTTAAAGGTTAAATTTGCTCTCTAAGAAAACAAGTTATTTATTTTAAGAATCCAAGCTCTGAAACTTCACTGTGTCTCTGTTCAAGGCTGAATTAATAACATTTTTGGCTTGCTCTCAGATCTTTTCAGGAAAATAAAACCTTTTTTTGCTTGCTAGAATAGTAACTAGCAAACACCTTGTTCTAAGAAAGAGTTTCTGTGGCAATGAATCATTTGAAGCTTCACTCATTAAAAAAAGCCTGCTCTACAACAAGAAACTTCACAAAGGCTGCAGGAGGTGGGCATTCATTGGACTCTGTCCCAGCACTGTAAACACCTGAAGCCCCTGTACTAGAGACCAAACACTTAAATAGTCTCTCCAGGAGGGATAGTCATACATGCTCATTCTATAATAAATTGAACTGGGTTAATCTATGGTTCCCCCTACACCTCCTCAGGATTGGAAAACATCTCTTTTCCATTCTGGTACCTTGAAAACAGCCATGTTCTCCTAATGTGAGTCAGCCTTTAAAGAAGAAATTGTCAATTGGCAAAGTAGCCCCTTGAAGGACCTGAAACCCATCTCAACTGCCTATTTGAGCCACTAAACATTACCATTCTTTTAAAAGCATTGCCATATGTGTTCTATCATTATTAGCCTCTGCTGCTTGGGGAAATGTGTCTGAGAAGCAAGAATAGTGTAATAATCACAGTCCTGAAATGTTAAAGTATCGATATTGTGGTCTTCAGCAGCAAAGTTCTACCAGAAGATGAGAGAGCACCCCTGAGACAGCAAAGGCAGATGGAGAAAGACCCTGGAGGACCTGCTCATTGATATGGAGACAAGGAAGCACAAGCTGTCTGAGTTCTTCAGTTAACAGGAGAATCTCTCTCTTTAGCAGGAAGAGGCACTGATGAATTGGTTCTTTGACTTTGTCACAGGGAATGGGTGCTTACCCAAAACAAATGGGAGAATGCCCTCATGTGGGAATTGGCATTACCACCTCCTCCCATCTAGGAGGGCTCACCTCCCCCCCCCCCCCAAGTGACTCTGGACACACCCTTCCATCAGCACCTAAAAACCCTCATAAAAAGGAGCTCCACTGAGAGTGCAGGAGGGGATCAATGAGCCTGAAGCCCAGTAAGTTGCCAAGTGTCCTGTTTTTTATTTGAACATGCAGTCAAAAAGAGAACCTGGCAACAGCCAGTCAGCCACAATAGCCACCCATTCTATCCCATCCCAGCATTTGCATGCAGTAGTTCCTCTGATCCTGGCTGCCCTGCCTGAAGGCTCTGTCCTTCACAGCGGGACAAACTGCTCAGGGCATCCCACTCCTCTCTGGGCTTTGCCTCTCAGCTGCACCTGCTCCTCACCTTGTTGCAGTCAGAGGTGACTCATAGGCTCTGCCTCTCCCCTCCCGGCCTCCTGTTTCATCCCACAAGAACCCAAGGTTCCTGATTGCAGCTGATTGTAGTTATGAGCTGCAAATAGTAATCAGTCCTGTGCTTGCATTACTCAGTCAGCAATGCTCCAGCTGAACAGCAAGGCTTTCTGTTTGCAGAAGAAAGAGGAAAGAGAGTGAACATACACACACTCCTTCCTTATTCTCTCACACCATAGGTCTGCTCTTTCAAATGTGAAGTGCAAAACTGCATATGCAAAACAACAAATAAAAGAGCTTCTGTAATGATCTCAATTGCAATTATGGGTCAAGCTTGCAAATGTATTATTTTAACGTGCAGCTGCCAGAAGTGTGTGTGCGCCTTTTTTGCACACACAACTGCAACAAAAATCATGTGTGTGTGTAAAATACTATTTCCCCTCAGTGTATGAATGATGTCTGTCAGGCCTGCCTTCCTTCCCCTCCCCCTCCAGTCTAAGGCTAGTGCCAGCCCAGTAGTCACAACACAGCTGATAGTATGCTAGCCATCAAGGAGTTAGAACCCTGCAGAGGAAAGTTCTTGCATTTCAGGTCAATATCAGCAACCCAGCTGAAGTGACAAGGCTCTGAGCCCAGGGGTGAGTGATCTGCAAGCTGCCTTCTCACAGACAGGCCGTAAGGTAGGGCCAGTGGCTTCATGCATCTTCTATGGGCTGCTAGGCCACTAGGCCCATCTCCATGGCAACAGCTAAGGTGTGGTGCGGTGCGGTGCAAAGACCCCACTGCACTATCAATGAGCTCCATTCACAAGGCTTGGTTTGGGACAGGGAGTAGCTTCTGGGCCTGGGAACAGTCTGACCCATCCCCACCCAATCCGTTGCTAGGTGACCAACCTGATGGAGCAAGCAGGCAGGCTGCAGGTCTGCTTCTCCTGGCCGGGCTCTGCAGGCAGCAGGTGAGTCCCAAGGGGCAATGGTGGGAGGAGAGTGAGCAACGGAAGGAGGAGGAAGAGACTAAACAGGAGCTGGGCCTCTGGAGAAAAGAGAGAGGGAAACATGTTCTGTTCTTAGCAATGAGTTGGCAAGCTTATCCAGGAGACATCCCTGGTTGTCTCCTCTCCCGACCCCGAACAATTTTCTGTAGCCATTTCCCCTCTTGTCAGGGGGAGTGGGAGGCGGAGGGTAAGGAGACAGGTTCACAGATAATAAGGAGTGTATGGTGCTCTAGGGAGCCAAAGGCCCACTATGTTTTGACAGGCAGTTCCTCTTTAAAAAGTTTCACTTTTACATTACATGTGACACTTTTAATAAATGTTACAGGTTCCTTGACTTGCAGGTGGACCTTCTTGCCTGAATGGGACTTTTTTTCCCTAGTTTGCGATAGGGCCCCTGATTCAAAGCTCATTACTTTGATTTGTGAAATGCTTCATGGTGTCATCACACTGCAAGGAATTTTTTTCCCCTCCCACAACCATTTCATCCCCTATGGCCATAAATATCCAAATTCCAAAGAAAACACCAGAGGGATGGGGACGGTGCAGTGTGCTTATAGTGCAAGAATAGTTTTAACATGAGCAGAAGTCACAAAACAGAGGAAGATTATATAGACTTATTTATGGCTTTGTTCATATACTAGTAAGCAGGGTCTGAATGAGCTTTCCCATCCCACTCCCTTGACATCTAGTGATGAGTTGGGGAACAGACCATATTTACAGAAACATACCTACTCCGTCTAGGAATTCACCAGAAGGAACTGCTTTGCCAAAGTGATCAAGTTTGGCTGATGTTGGGTTACAAATCACTTAAATATTGAGTACAGGAGTAATGAAATATAATCCAGACTGTATAAGTAACAGGCAGCAAAACTTTGCCTGCCCTGAAGCACACTTGCTAAACCAGGGGTTGGGATGCCAAATCCCAGTGAAAGAGAGAGGGTGGAACAGGTGTTCCTACCTGTTGACTTTGTTTCCTGACTCTTTGTTGTTTGCTAATTAATGGTTCTTATCTACCCCCTTTGACTATCTAGTCTTTAGGTGCTTATAGACTTGGCTTTCCCTTGATATACTTTTTACCCACTGCCTTTTCTTGTCCCCACCCCCTCTCGCAATTTTCCCTTCTTCCACCCTCCCCTCCTATCTCCCCTATTTATTGTGGTCCTAGACATCCAACGCTCCGGTCATCTGAAGAAATGGGCTGTGCCCACGAAAGCTCATAAAATCATAGAGTTGGAAGAGACCTCAGGAGGTCATCAAGTCCAGCCCCTGCCCAAGGCAGACCCAATCCCAACTAAATCAACCCGGCCAGGGCTTTGTCAAGCCGAGACTTAAACACCTCTAGGGATGGAGATTCCACCTACCATCTACATGTTTTGTTAGTCTATAAAGTGCTACAAGACTAGTTGTTTGTTGTTGTAAACTGTGCCTAAGGCATCCTAGGCACTATTTTAGTCTCTCTTTCTCCACTGTTTAAAAATGGAGCTAAGAAGACAAAATTGAGTCATTCCTTTAAGTGATTACTAGAGCTAAAATCTGGGTCTGAGAAGAAAGCGTTAGACTAGGTGTGGGACAGAGTTTTAGTGAAAGAGACTGCACAGCTGGCACACTAGCAGTGACATTCCCCACTAGTGAAAACATGTAGAGCTTGGTTAAGAGGTGGGACCTGAAGATGTGGTGGCACAGGCCAGCAACAATGGGGAGTGAGCAGCTGGGAGGTGCTCTAACCCTGCTGTGCTGCTGGTTGTGGCAGTGGGGTCCCCCGGTATCGTTTTAAATCTCCTGGAAGCAGCAGGCAGGTCTGGAGGACACATGGAGAGAACACACAGGTCAGGGGATGCAGGGGTCAGGGGATGCACAGGAAGTTGTGGTCTAGTCCAGCCTTGGTCCAGAAACATTTCTGGTGCCAGGGCATCACGGGAACATATAACATATGGAGGTGGCCATAGCAGCCGAGGTCTTGTAGATGCCTTCGTCCCCCTTTCCCTGGGTGGGAGCCAAGCCCACTTGACAGGGGGCAAAGAAGGCAACTGTCCCGGGAACAGTTTAAGATTTAAAAGGGTCAAGGGCTCCCAGCTGCTGCTGCTAATGCAGCGGTGGTGCTCTGAGTTCCTGGTTCTTTAAATTGCTGCTGAAGCCACAGGTAGCATGCTTTAGGCACTGCTAAGGGCGGGCTGGGGGAGGGTTCAGTTCCATCAGTGCTGAAGCCTGCATGCCCCAGCCCTGCCCCTTCCACTCAAGGCCCCATACCCTGGCATCTTGAACCTTTCTTATGTTTCCAGGGTTGGTAATCATGAACTCTGTGGTCTGCTATACCTTGCAGAACTAGTAGAATTAATAACTTTTGGAATCACAGATTCACATACTCCTTTTGATGGGCAAAGTATTGGGTTGTGGGTGCCATTGCTGGCCCCGGCACTGTTCAGAAAATCTCATCCTCTCAAATCCAGCTAGATTGACACATGCTTGGGTAATAGCAATGACCCATGGATGGAGGATAGTGTTGATTGCCTTGCAGCCACGGCTTGCCATCCCAACTTTCCAAAACAACTTCCCAAACAATTTTTTTTCCAAAAAAATCCCACCTCACCTTGTCGATTCTTCATCAGTGGTAATACGGACAGTCCCTTTATATGAATAGTAATCACTCTATCTTTTTTTTGGCATGACAGAAAGTTCCAGTCTGTTTCTGCCCATTATCTCAATGACTGCACCGCAGAAACTTTTGCCTCATAAAAAAAGATCAGGAGCAGAACTACATTGTTGTTCACTTGTACTGTGTCTTCAGCCAAGTGTCATGGAAGAGAGAGGTGAGTGGGAACTGCCATGGACAAATGTGAAAAAGTGCCGGACAGTTCAAACTATACACTGCAAGACAGTTCCTAGAGTATCTCCTGTGCCCCTGAAATGGTAACACTAACACAGCATAGCAAACAGACATGTACATAGCAGATATCCATGTCCAGCACTGCACACGTGAACACTCTGCACCACATGTGGGGTACATGTGTGGTCATGTATGATCAGCTACCTAAAAATGCTTGCAAATGCAGACTTAATCTTGTAGTCATGCAAGATTTTTAACTGAAAAATCACAGAGCATCTTCCTAGTGCAGCCATACATCACCCTACTCTGGCTTGTGTTCTTCCTGAGATTTGTGTGCAATAAGGTCATTAATTATTTGTATAGACTTAGAACATCTGGGACACCATTGTGCTAGGCGCTGTACAAATACTGGACAAATAGACAGTCTTTGCCTTATTTCTAAGTCTACAATTACTAAGTCTACAGCCTCACTCTTCTGCATGTCGATATGAGCCTTCTGAACCACAAGAGGGGAAAACAGCTGCCTTCATGGCACCAACTCCAAGGATAAAGAGGGAATAGTCCATGGCAATGTGCATCATTCCTTTGTTAACAACACAGAAAGTTCACAGGAAAAATGCAATGCCGTCTGAATCTTTCTCCATCCAGCCACTTACATAGCTCTCATCATCCTATCTAAACACTTCTGCAGTTTTAAATCCTTGGAAGATGAGTATGTCTAAACTACATTCCTCTTCCAAAAGAGAAATGTAAAGGAGCCTGATCGAAAAGGCAAATGAAGCGCGGATTTACAAATCTTGCGCTTCATTTGCATAGTCGTGTGAGTGCGCTTTTTTGAAAAAGGGTGCTTCAAAAAACAAACCACAGTCTAGATAGGGTTCTTTACAAAAAAAACAACCCCCCCCCAAAAAAACCCCACACTTTTTCAAAAGAACCCATTTTTTCAGGAGTATGGGTTCTTTCGAAAAAAGGTTTTTTTTAATGTATAAATTGAGTCCAACTCATAAGTGGAATAAAATATCTTGCTAAAAACTATAAAGCAGCCAGAGATATCAATCTGAAAGTGATGCACTTTAAGATCATGAACCAGTTAACTCTAACAGATCCTTGAAAGAGAGAGCAACTGGTGGCTCAAAATTAATAATTTGTTCTGATGAAAGGATTGGCCCTTAGAAATTATTCAGAATTGTGGTTTTTTGTTTATTTTTCAATCTAAGTGCTTTAAAATATGAGTCTGATATTTGGTATGTGTCCCTTTTCCTTCTAGGGCATAATGTTAAAAAAAGGTATTAGACTGTATTTCACATTTTTAAAAGTGTAAGCCTGCCCTGTGGTTAGTGTGCTTGTTATATACCAAAGCACTCTTGACTATGCACAGCAGCTGTTCCTCAACTAGTGACTTGAGAGAGGAACATGTAAGCATTGCTGAACAACTGTGTTGTTTTACCTTGAAGAAAGCCTGAGGGTTGATATCAGGACCTCTTTTAAATTTGCTTTCTACTTTCATAATAAACTTTGTTTTTATTGTTAAACAAGTTGGATTTTTACATAACCTTTAAAGTGGACATGAGGTTTCTCAGTCTCTTCAAGCCTCATACCTGCCATTGTGATGTTTTACCTGTGTCCCTTTAGTTAATTCGGATTTATGAAAATATTACATTTTGCTGCTTTACAAAGAGGGTGGGTGGGAGTGTGCGCACATTATCAGAAATGAGTGTCCCAGAAACACTATCTAGATATAATATTTAAGCTGAAGGGGAAGGCAGCTTCACTGAAAACTAGAGCAGTACTTTAAAGTCACATCAGAAATTCTTAAAGACAATAAATAGTTGCAACTTAAAAAGGATACAGAGGTGTGCCATAAAATTCTATGAGAATTGGATTCAATCGGAAGATTCCCTTTCAAAGTATTTCTGTGTAGAGTGGGTATAGTCAGAAGGCTACTTGTATATAAAATGGCATTTTATTCAACATAAATCCCAGTGGTGCTGCATTTGCAACCAAAATGAAATGTAAAAAAATGTGGTCCATGGTACAAAAATTAGGAGAATTCTGCTATATACAATTACTTTATTTGTATTATCATAGTGTCTAGTAGCCCTAATCATGGACCAAGATACCTTTAACTTTATATTCACTTTAATTTTATATTTTGTTTACAATTTCATCTATAAAGCCTTCCAAGACTTGCCCACTAAACTTTCCTTATATTTTTTTTGTCTGAACTGAAGCTCATTTGAATCAAATAAAAACACTCCCAGCCCTGGTCTACACTAGGGAGTTATTTCAAAATAACAAGTGGAGCGTCTATACTACCAAGCCCGTTATTTCAAAATAAGGGGATGGTTATTTTGAAATAATAATTCCTGCTTTCCATGAGGAATAACGCTTATTTCAAAATAGTTATTTTGAAATAGTGGTAGTATGGAAACTCCACTGCTGCTATTTTGAAATAACTAACACCGCCCCCCTAGAATCATTCAAAGTAATTACTCCCCAGTATTTCCTGGGACTCTAAGTTGAGGTAGCGTATCATATTAAGGGTACATCTACACAGTTGCACGTAGCTCGAAATAATGTCAAATTTCGAAATAGGCTGTCTACACACCGCCAAATTTCGAAATAGAGTGCTTTTCCAGTGTCTTCCTTATGCCTCATGCAATGAGGTTTACAGGAAACCGGGATAAGATACCTGTTTATTCAAATGTATTTCGAAATAACAGGCAACCTGTTAAGACTTTCACAATGCTATTTTGAGATAACGAATGTTATCCCAATATAGCGCCACTGAGTAGATGCACCCTAAGGGAGCCTGCCTTGGACTAATTTTAGAGGTTTCCCTGTAGTGTGTATTTTGAAATAACTTATTTTGAAATAAAAACTCCCAAAAATAACTATTTCATAATAATTTCCTAGTGTAGGCCTGCCCTTAGTGACTTCAAATGGGCTTTGGATCAGTCACCTTGAGAGTCTGTAGTTATTTCTAAGACACAAATTCTGGGTGAATGTCAGGTTTGGCAAATGTTACTGTCCAAAAAGCATCCAGGTAGAAGTTTAAAGGCTACAAAATTGAACAACATTCTGACTCTGAAACATAGACCAGATATAACTCAATCCTACTTTCCAGGCAAGAATGCAAGTGTATTACAGTGTATGTAGGTTTTAACAACAATCAAAGCTGAAAGATCCTGTGGGCCAATTGTGTGGCTCTTCTGTGGCTAGAACTTCCTTGATTTGCTAGCTATGAGTGTCAGCAGGGCAGAATTGAGGCTGCTTTGGAGGACCATGCCATCGATGGCAACATGAAAAGCACTATAAACAAGCTCTGTATGATCACTGTTAATTATTTAAAAGACCTTTATAAATAACTCTTATTATTATTGGTTGTTTCTGTAAGTCACAAGCATAGAAGCTTGGGTCAAAATACTGCAAATCTACTTGACAAATAAAGATAAATTGAGTAACAATTAACCAATGATTATTTTCAGCTCTTGAATATACTATTTTGCTTCAAGATTTTCTAACTTTAGGGGTTTTTTTTTTAAGCTAACTCTTAAACTCTTGAGAACAGTACACCAATTTAAGATTTTTTTGATGACAATCACTAAACATTCCTCTTGGATCACATTTTATATTTGTTTTACGATTTTTGACTCTACAAGAGCTAGCTATTTTATATAGAGACTAACTAGGTTGCATGCAGAAAACTTTTGAAATAGTCAAATAGCTCTTAGTCAACAGTTGTGATATGATTATTTCCTTCTTACACAAGAATTCATCTCAGTGCCCTCTGCATCCTTACTTCTTGGGTGCAGTTTCTTCTTGTGAAACACCAGTTCCATAAGATGGAGAGACGATTTTGGCTTTGTTGTGTGTATGTGTGGGAGAAGGGAAATCCTCAAACTGAATCAATGAAACATTGAATCAAGCATAGATTAAAGTATTTTAATTAAATGGTAATACATTATTTTAATGAAATTTAATTTTAATAAATTAAATGGTATTACTGAATCACCTCATATAATAAGAACAAATTTGCTATTGCTTTATAGCTGACTGTTTTACTAATCTGTGGAGGGTTTTATTTTCAAGGGTAAACAAGTACATATCTCTAGATTTAAAGCAATCTTTAACTGAACAGGGGAAACAAAGGAAGAAAGAATGTCCTATAGTAGGGGTGGGCAATAATTTTTGTAGGTGGGGACACTTCACTGTTGTTGATAGTGGTCGCAGGCTGGTTCTGGAAGGGGCAGGGCTGTAGCCTGAAGGGGGAGGTTCTCTCTAGGCACCGTGTGTGGGGGGAGGAGACTTTGCACATTCCCCTGTGGGGCGTGGGAGCATGGGAGGTCTCTCCCCACCTCAGCCTGCCAGGGGTGTGTGGTACCCAGAGGGAACCAGTGGTTCCCTCTGGTGCTGCATGCCGCTGCCAGGGGGAGGAGACTTTGCGTGCTCCCCCACCCTCAGATCCCACTTGGTTCTCCCCACCACTACTACCCCACCTTTTCCCGGGCCACGCTATATCTAGATGGAACCGTCAGCTATTTTGAACAACTGGCTGTTCCCTCTGGTGCCGCACACCCTCGGCAGTGGGAGGAGACTACGTATGCTTCCCCTGCCCCAGGCCAATCAAGGTCTGGAGGCAGGGGTGTGGCAGGGCAGGCAGTGGGCCAGATGAAACAACTTAGCGGGCTGGATCCAGCCCTTGGGCTGTATCTTGCCAATCCCTGTCCTACAGTCACTAAAACATATACCTGATAGACAAATCTTCCTTTTAATCGTGTGCATATTCTCTGGAGAATAATTTTTTCCCAATGAAAGATGTGTTTTATAGAGCCCATAAAATAGTTATATAACTGAGACTAGATCAGGTCTCTCTAGTGTTATACTTGGACATGAGCCTTTATGCTACTAGCTTCCATTGGTTCACTTATGTAACTGTTGAATCATCATCAGTGAGATAATTTGCTGAACATTTTCACTGAA